ACATCAACTGTCTTCGTATGAGACATTTTATACGCGCAAACGGATTGTGAATAAAACACATTTTCTCCACGTTCACACGCCTCCCAGTCCTCTGCCAAAGTACATCTGCGTACAAAAAGGCCTAAGGTTTGCCATGTGTCAGTCTTTGCTTTTGCTATTGAAATATGAGGACTTGAATTTTCAAGACGATAGCATTGTTTTTGTGACTGGCTTAACTCTACTGAAACAGCACACTTGGAATCATCAAAGTACACGTCAGCAATAATCAAGCAGTCATTTGAGCCCAGTTTAAACGTTTCTTCAAATTCACAATCAGGGCTATGGTGTAAATGACACACACAATGCAAGTCCTCAGCTTTCAATATATCAGATTTTGGATTAAGAAATGGGAAACCACCCCCATTAAATGACTCGCGCTGGCAGTATGAAACCACCACTGATATACAGACATAGGACAATTTGTGTTTACTTTGACAAAATTAGTTGCGCACGCACCTCTGTCTATTTTAAGGCCTTCTGCTGTCGATGTGATCACAACTTCCCATTTTATCATTAAATCACGGCCTAACAAGTTTACAGGACAAAGGTCAGACATCAAAAATGAATGTTTTGCTGTTGCTGGGTTACGCTCGTTTGCCCAAGTGCATTTGATCGGAACAGAAAAAGATTCCGGTACCGTTTGTCCACTCGCACTTGTGGAAAAAACACTTCTGCCACTTAATTTGATTGAGAGCTCCTTTGTCTGAATCACACTGTGGGTTGCACCAGAGTCTACTAAAAAAGTGATCGGTTTACCCTCAATTTCACAAACAATAGTTGGCATTTTTCTGTAAGCTTCATTTTCATAAGCTAAGTAGGTCCCTGTGTTGGGCCTGTCACCGCTCTCTAACTCCCTAATTCTATCCTCAATTAAGCCAAGCAGTGAATCAGTGGCAAGCGCGTCTTCATTGCAGTTAGCAGTTAGTGTGTTGTGTGTAAGAGTGTGTGCATTACTCATCTGTACAGGTGCTGTGTCAGATCCCACGTCAACCAGACATCAATCTGAAGAAAATCTCTGCTGGTCCTCCGGTCTCGCACCCCGTCCACGTCCACTCCAGCGTCCCGCATCTCGGCGTGGCTGGGGACAGTCACGATTCCAATGTCCAATTTCACCACAGTTGAAACATTTGTCCTGGTCGTCATGGACACGATCGTTCTCGAAATGTCCGTGGTCACGATTGTTCTCGAAATGTCCGTGGTCACGATTGTTCTCAAAATGTCCGTGGTCACGATTGTTCTCGAAATGTCCGTTGCCACCTCTTCTCCGTCCTCTACCTCCACGACCTCCACGACGGAATTGTCTGCCCGTCATTTTGATCAATGTGAGATTGGCCTGATGCTGTGCCGTCTCCTGCGCGCCAGTTTTTACAGCGTTCTCCTCAGTGTTCTTTATTTCAGCATGCTTTGCGTGTCTGAGGATTTCTGGGATGTAAAGTCTTTCCATCTCTGTGTCATGCCATTGTCATTGTCCAGTGTAACTTTACTTAGATCATGCGTGACAGAGTGGATGAAGCCGCTGCGCTCTGGTCAGGTGCGGCCTCTCTGTGACTTGCTCCAGCCAGGAGGGGCGGGGCGGGGGCAGATGCGGAGGCTCCTGCTGCGGGGAAGAAGCAGCCAGGGGAGGGGCTGATGCAGACGCCTCTGGAGCGGTGAGAGGAGCAGCGGAGGGAGGGCAGCTGACGCTGCTGCTGCTGCTGTTGCTGGTGCTGCAGGTGCCGCTGCTGCAGGTGCCGCTGCTGCTGCTTGATACCGGGGGGGTGAGAGAGCGGAGTACAGCGGGGTCCAATCATCTCTGGAGTTCCTACGGTCGTATTGACGTGGGATCGGTGGTATGCTCGAAAAAAAAGCAGATGGAGAAGTATCAGTCGCAGATCCTATACATTGTTTCTGTCTACTTTCCCTAAGCTTTGCCTCAGTCATCCACGCATTCAGCCACCGTCTGTTCTCATCCAGACAATTCAAATCTTTCACACGTACAGACCTGCCTTTTTTTAACACAGTTTCTCGAGCATCCAATTGCGATTTAATCTTTTCCAATTGGTTCAAGCTGAAGGAGCCATTTTTGGGAAAACCTAATTCAGCCACCCACATTTCAGTGCATGCCCTAAAATCATCACCATGTTTCTTACTCATAAAAGTCATGCATGGGGCGTCCCAAACTGGTGACTCTGTGCCTTTTCTTCTAAGCCACATGGCTGGAATCTGAGACTTCAAACTCAGATCTAGTATCAACTGAGGACTCAAACCCCAGACTAAGACTAAACTTAGATTTTTTGACAGGACTCGAACCTGTTTTCACAACGAGAGGACTCGAACCCCCCGACTAAGACTTGAACTTAGATTTTTTAGACAGGACTCTAACCGTCTTCACAACGAAGGACTCTAACCTCCGACTAAGAGTAAACTTAGATTTAGACCGGACTCTAACCGTCTTCACAACGAAGGACTCTAACCTCCGACTAAGAATAAACTTAGATTTTCTGACAGGACTCCAACCTGTTTTCACAACGAGGACTCTAACCTCCGACTAAGACTCGAACTTAGATTTTTTCCCAACAGCCTGGATTAGAATGAGGAGCACCGTCACCAGCTGGCAGCCAAACATGCACTGCACCCACAAGTGCCTCTCGGATTCACCACTGAAGCATAAAAAGTCAAATATTAAACAAGTTACCGTTTGTTTTCGTGTGAAAATCCCGAGAGGCGACGGTTGAAACTCAGCACGTCCGGTCAGTCCGCCCGTCCAGAGATATGGGAAAGCGACGAGATTGGTTTTGAATCCCGGGCGATCAGTCCCCCGAATCCGGACCCCTGCGTTTCAACGGTCAAGCCTTCGAGACCACTTCTGACACCAAATTGTTATGGAAATTCTATTGCCTCAAATGAATGAAACCGAGAGGAAACAAACTTGTCCTTTGGTGCAGTTTTATTCACAGAAGTGATGAGTACAAAATGACATTTCTGCGCAGAAAGGAGTCAAACAGAAGCGGCACCTGGAGCGATGCCGTGTCTGTCTGTTCTCCCCAACAAACATGTCTTATGATCTTATACTGGAGGTGTGTCAGACAGAACAATGGACATTCGTCACAAGAGAGATGAGTCATACGCAGCTGCAGACGGGAAAGTTTGAGAGAGATACATTAAGCGCAGAAAAGGACCTTCGAATTTGATAACAAGGAACACGCTGTAAGAACATTTGAGATAGGCCCATGCAGGTGGTGGCGAAGGTTATGGGAAAGAGGACCGTGGACAAGCAGCCTTTGTGTTAATGTTTCAAACAGTGATGGGGAGCGGGTTTCAGACGCTGGGAAAGAAGACGCATGTATCGACCTAAATGATTAGAATATCTTGTGCCGGGAATCTGGCCATGACAAAAGTCACTTGAAAACTGTGGTAACAAGTATTTATGCTTTGTTACTGTTCTTTTGGTATCTATAATTAACGCCAACATTTGACTTTTTCTCCTTGCTTTGTTTTATACACAATTATTTTTATACCATGGTCTCGTTCAGATCTGCAGCGATGCATGTGCTGTAGGCTCCGCCCCGTCTGTGTCATGTATCCAGAACGTTAGATTTCCTTTTTTTTTGTGATGCTACAGCCTATTTTACAGATATGTGGAAAAGTACATGACACATACCAGTGCTTCTCAATGATCGTCTTCCCCTCCGTCACATCTTTAGCTCAGGAAATCAGCTCTCAGGCCACAGTCAAATAGTTTCTCACAGGGCTCTCTCTCATCCCCTGGTTGGACCTGGGGGATGTGGAAGCGCTGTCATTCACTACAAAGCCGGTGTAAATCCCCAACAGTCTGAATGGAGCAGAGACTGAGGATGTGGAAATTTCTCGTACAGAAAAATGACATGTTCCTTGTGATCACACACTCTCCGGCATCACGCCCCCCAAGGGCAGCCAGCTTCGCTATTTGAGAAGGACTGACATTTAGACTGACACATGTAAAGATGTTTCCTTATCACCATCGAATTCTGCTCCTTTTTATATAGAACGGTCACAGGTCACACAACGCCCCCTGCACCGCCTTGTGCCTAGGGCAAGATACATTTTGTTTCCTGCTTATGCTATAGCCACAAAACTCTCAGGGTTATCAGACAGACTAAGAAAGACATACTTTTTCCCCACCGCTGTCAGACTGTACAACAAGTCACTTTAAGTCACTAATTCACTAGAACTGAAAAAACCCTGCACTACTATTGCCACTCAACAGTAGCTCAGTTGGTAGAGCATTGGCCTTAAGGCCTGAAGGTCGTGGGTTCAATTCCCACCTGTCCACCGACTCTCACTGATGACTGCTGTCGTTGTGTCCTTGGGCAAGACACTTAACCCCACTTTGCCCAAAAAGCCCCCACTGTAAGATCAAGGCTGCTGTCCTCACTGCCTGCAGGGGATCAGTGAGGGGCTGGTGCTATGAGACTTCCCTGACCCAGAAATGGATTAAAGGATAGAAAATGGATGGATGGACGACTATATTTTTTTACCCTAACCATGTCTTTTGCACAATCTGATTGAGGCTATCCATGCCAAATGTGAGTGGTAAATTTCTCCAGTGTGAGATCAATAAAGTCTGTTATTTTATCCTGTCTTTATAGTACATTTACCACATAGGAAATATTATTTGATTATCCCTATAAAAAGATGTATCTGTTTTTTGTCTGTGCTAACTTCTGTATTTAACATTATTGCATGTAGGTTTACACTGGCTTCTTTGCTGAATCATATCTACCACAGATTATGCAAAAAGAGCTTTGACAAACTGAGTTAAGAACAGTGGCGACTTGTAAGGAGGAGAATAAGCAACATGGAAAGCACAAATTATAAGATAGCTTTAATCTTCTAATTAAACATCGACTTTGCTTAATGTGGAATGCCAAGGCAGGGCTATAAAATATACTTTAACAAACAACCCCCCAGTGGTTCACCAAAGCCCCATCTTTTCAGTTCTCATGTTTGAGTCCAGTAAGCAACAGCTGGTTACATTGCTAGACTAAGTTTCTTTTCATTAAAAAAAGAGGACACATCTCTGGGTCAGATGTGACGTCGTTGCTTCGCTGGTGAAAGGGGCCTGACCTGCCGTTCCACACAGGAGGCTGTAGGTGTATTTTGGATTTAGAGTTAACCTACATCTCCTCAGCTCATTTCCCAGCGCTCATGACACATGTATAAAAGTGCGCGTGCTTCATTTGATCATAGTTGAGTGGATTACAATAGACCAGTGTCTCCCAAAGTGGGGTCCGCGGCCCCCTGGTGGGCCGCGAGGGTACTGCAGGGGGGCCGCGGGAGGTCATAAAAAAAATTTAAAAAATAATATAATTATTTAATGTTACATTTATAATGTTTTGTTTGTAATATTAAAATATTTGTGTTAATTATTTGACTTGAATAATCCACTGTAATAATTTGTGTATGTAGCAGAGGCTATTTCCCCAAAATAAAATAACCAGAAGAGCCTATTCTTAATGTTGTCTTCTTGGTTATTATTTTGGGGGGCCACGCAGACCCGTCAGATTTTTAAGGGGGCCTCGGTGTTACTGAGTTTGGGAATGGCTGCAATAGACAATGTAAATCGTACTTCCAAATGTATTGTGTTGAAGAAGATGACAAAGTCTGGGATCGCGTCTTTAATTCAGACAGAAGATATGTTTTATTGTCGATGGTAGAGACAGCACGAACACGAACACAGATACAATAGAATGCAAGTGTATTATACAGAGCGGAGGCATGGAGACCTCCAATCAGCAGCTGCCACGGTGCCATGTAGCTTGGCCTTCAGATAGACAAAACAAGGGAAAAGTACTGGCTTCTGCACATTGATAGAATGATGAGTTTAACTTTAACAAAAGTTGCTTCAAAGTGTTATGAAATCTCACAGTGTGGCCAAACTAATGTGAAAGCATTGTTTTAGATGTTGCGCTGAAGATGAAGGTGATGCTAAATAAGTATATTTTTGACCACATTGCTCCCTCATTGAAGAAACCTGCAGCGCAATCTATGCTAATATCAAGAACAAACAAACGTATATTTTCAAGATACAGACGTTTAATTTGAAGCGTCTGTTTTAAATAAACACTTGCTTAACTTATGGCACAAACACGTCTTCCTCTGCTTCTGTCTCAATGTTTCCGTCTAAAATGGACCTCCAAACTCGACAGTAGCAAAACAATGTCACACACTTAGCACCTGTCAACAATTATGATTTTTTTCCAGAATTATTCAAAACGTCCGTTTCCTGTACAAACCGTATATTCAAAGTGGATGAACTAACTGCTGACGCCAACATAGTGTTTGCCAAATGCGGAAGAAGCTGATTTGAACATAAGCTAGCTGGAGCCTTTGTGACGACAAAGTGACATACGTGCCATAGCAGGGGCAGATGCAAACGTGTTGCTAACATGGTTGCTATGGTTTCCTCCCGTTCCAATCTGTTATAGGTTTCACCATGGGGAACAGAGGGTGCGGGGAAGTAATTTTTACTTTTAATTTTGCTACACATTTTTACTTTTACCTCTAGAAAACCTGAAATATCTCATTTTGTAGTTCTGACTTAATATAACTTAAATAGTCTGCTATAATAGGAGGCACAAAGCCTCCTCTGCTCTGGAGCAGTCTATGCTCTTGGTGCATCTCAAAATTAAAGTAAAACTGATTTTGTGCATTGCCCTCAAGCTCGCGTTGAATTACACACTTCTATCTCTTAAAGCAACAGTATGTTCTCCACTGAGTCCAATGCAGTTTGCTTGACTTGACTTAAGCTTGCGCAGCCTGAATTTTCTCTCCACTATTGTATTTTTGGTCTCACTGGAAGCACAAATAGAACTACATTAAACACCACAAACTGATGATTTCAGTACATCCACTGTACTGGAAGTGAGGACAGAACCGATAATTGCTTTTGTATCCACAGGAGACATCCACGGCCAGTACACAGACCTGCTCCGGCTCTTTGAGTATGGCGGCTTCCCTCCTGAGGCCAACTACCTGTTCCTGGGAGACTACGTGGACCGGGGGAAGCAGTCCCTGGAGACCATCTGCCTGCTGCTGGCCTACAAGATCAAATACCCAGAGAACTTCTTCCTCCTTAGGGGCAACCATGAGTGCGCCTCCATCAACCGCATCTACGGCTTCTACGACGAGTGTGAGTGTCCAGTCGGGCCGTTACTGTACATGCATCGCCCTGGTATCCACCCGTGGAACATGGCATCTTTTTAGTTTCTCTTATCTTCTCAGGATCCACACTTTACAAACCAGTGAGCCATGATCTCCCTCTGTACATGTAGTTACTGTTGCACTTCAGAATATCACAATTTGATATTCAAACAATTCACATTTGTTTTGAAGACTCTAAAGGTGCGTTCACACCAGTGGGGGAGGGTCCCAGCTCAAAAGTGGCCAAAATGATGTGCGCTGACATGCTTGCAATAAGATAAGATAAGAATTCCTTTATTCGTCCCACAGTGGGGAAATTTCGATGTTGCACGCACATATAGGACAGTAGTAAGAGCACACAGGGAGCACACACAATATATACACTATATACAAATAAGTAGTAGCTATGTTTCTTAACTAACATAACTAGCTGTAGATGCTGAAAATGCTACAATACCAGTCAAAAAATATATATATGTAGTAGTGCAGTTATATACTGTACAGTTAAATAGTGCAGGATAATAAGTATATAAGTAAAGTGACATTGTTCTGTGACATCCTGAAGTTGCAGTATTGCAGATGATTTAAGAATACCACCCTGGGCCGTTGGGGGTGGACCCAGAAGAATTAGCCAAAGCTAACATATAGCGTTAGCAGACCTCTGGAAAACGTCTTTACAGGATGGTCCAAAAGTTGGCTCTTGGCCCAAAGCTCCGTTCCACATGTGTGTCAATGCTGAGGGGGGTGATTTTTTTTTGGTCCACTCTAGTTTACTCGCGGGGAATTTTTGAAGTCTCTCGTTCAAATGAATGGAGCTGCGCCGGCTGACGCATGCGCAGATGCGTTTTTTCACAACTTTCTTGTGGGCGGGACCACTCACGGCCATCTTGGATTGCTCCATGAAAGCACTTTTCATGGCCAACTCCTATGAACGGCGGAGATAGGCGTGACTCTGTCCGTTATTATATACAGTCTATGGTTCACACCGGACTTAACTTCGACTTCAAAAGCGTCAGGTTTGCATTGAAAGTGAATGGTGAAGCGCGTCAGGTGACGCCCGGCATCACTTGGCACGCGTCAAAAGCTTCAAAAGACACGAGTAATACGCGCGTCACTTGAAGCTTTTGACACACGTAACGCTCGCGTCTCTTGAGGCCAAAGTTGAGCAAAGCTGAGCTTTTGAAGCTTTGATGCGGGCTTCGACCAATCAGGAGACGAGGAGCAGCAGCTGCAGCGGATCTGTCTCTGTCATGGAGAGAAGTCATAGCTGCTGCTGCTGCTGTTTTATTGTCATTATTGTTACTAGCAACATTATTTGTATGAATAGTAATGTTCTTAATAAGTACGTCACAAAATCATTGTACACATGCTGTGAAGTAAACGTAATTTATTTAATATAAGAACAAGCTGACGATGAGTCTGCCTCAAAGCGAGAGGCGAGAGAGAGGCGAGAGAGAGGCGAGAGAGAGGCGAGAGAGAGGCGAGAGAGAGGCGAGAGAGAGGCGAGAGAGAGGCGAGAGAGAGGCGAGAGAGAGGCGAGAGAGAGGCGAGAGAGAGGCGAGAGAGAGGCGAGAGAGAGACGAGAGAGAGGCGGGCAGAGGCGAGCTCCGGGTTGAGGGAATTAAAACTGGGTGAGTGACTTGGGGATGTATCGCTGAAAGCAAAACTCATCTGTAGGCCGCTCCTTTAGTAAACGGTGAAACTCAGCAAACACTGCAGCCTCTCAAGTCTGTGGTGAACCCTGAACACGTTGTGTAGAAACCCCACAACAAGCTTGTTTGGCTTTAATAAACAACAAATAAAGGCTCGCTGCTCTCTGGAAAATCCACCGGATTTTCCTCAGATGTTGAAAATACATACATGTCATTAAATAATTGCCCACCCCTGCCTTAGACAAACTAAACCTCACTGTGTTTTCCAGGTAAGCGCCGGTTCAACATTAAACTGTGGAAGACATTCACAGACTGCTTTAACTGCCTGCCCATCGCTGCCATCATCGATGAGAAGATCTTCTGTTGCCACGGAGGTTAGCACCGTTAGCTTTGCGGCTACTGCAACGACTGCTAACATCACACTGAACCCTGTGCTTGTCTCTCAGGTCTGTCGCCTGATCTGCAATCCATGGAGCAGATCCGCCGCATCATGAGGCCCACAGATGTACCAGACACAGGTGCGCACCGTTCACTGAGAAAGATCCACACATTTGCATTCAGAGCCCACTGTCATATGTATTCATTTTTTGCTTTAGTTTCCATTACATGCAAGATGCTTTTCGTCATTAATCTTTGTCATAAAATCGGTTGTCCAAAGATTTTCTTCTTTTAACTTCATTTTGGAAATTATAAATGATGATGTACATGCATAGGGAAGTCTGGGCTTGTCTTACTGCCCCACGCGACCCAGCAATGGATAAAGTGGAAGAGAATGGATGGATGATAACACATTATCACACATTCTTTTGTGGTTGTGTCTTTATTGTAATAATAAACAAAAACAAACAATGTTTATTTTCAAAAAACATAATTGTGTCGATCAAAGGAGTTGATGCAGTTCATGCACGGTGGTCCATGAATTTAAAGACTGTTAGAGGGTCACTACTGTGACTTGGGGGATGGTTTACACAAACAATAAGTGAGTGAAAAAACTGTTCATTGTTCATGATCTCAAAAATGTCTGCCTGGGAGTGTGAGCTGTCGGGAAATGTATTCTGGGGTGTCAAACCGGTTCCAGTTAGGCCAGTGTGGCTACAGGTTTTGATTCCAACCTGAGTTGGAGCACACCAGACTCCACCCATTTCCTCAAAACTATAGGTTAAAACTAAACTCACTTGAGGAAATGGGTGGAGTCTGGTGTGCTCTGACTTAGGTTGGAACTAAAATCTGCAGCCAAACTGGCCCTTGAGGACTGGTTTGACAGCTCTTTACTAGAACAACATGATTTGCTGCTTTGATAGCGAACACAAGATGGAAATAGTCATAAAACGTGTGCGTGTTGCTGCCCCCGCAGGCCTGCTGTGTGACCTGCTGTGGTCCGACCCAGATAAGGACGTGCAGGGCTGGGGAGAGAACGACCGCGGCGTCTCCTTCACCTTTGGGGCCGATGTGGTCAGCAAGTTCCTCAACCGCCACGACCTGGACCTCATCTGCAGAGCGCACCAGGTCTGCACCCCACTCTCCTCTTTAATGTTGGTGTGAGTGGAGCTGGTAACACGGCGTTCTGCTGCAGAATCCTCTGTTATTAGTCACTCACTTCACTTTTGTGTTGCCTGCTCCCTGCCCACACGCGCACAGGCGGGCTGAACAATCCAACACAGCATAGTTTCAGTTTCACAAGGGGGATGTGAATACTGCCAAGGTTACGCTGTTTTGACATGATTTCTGTTCAATATTGCCGTATTAATTTGTGTTTAAGCTCACTTCATACGGCTTTTTCACCTGACATTTCTTCGTCCTAATATCACTGGTACAGACGCGACCCACTGCGCATTAGGTTTTGTTTTTCTCATCCTTACCTTTATTCCGTAAATGTATGACTTAAAGTGAAAGCATATTTCTGCATTATATCACTTTGCATTTGATGGAAACTTTTAAGTGCAAGCATTTTATTCCATATTGACTAGGAAGTTTGAGCGTACAGTACATAAGGCTCGGCCCAGAGGTCGGATGGTCACATGTCGTTCAAGGCGTGTTCACACTTGTTGACTTTAACTGGACCAAGTCTGGTTCATTCGAGGGAATAATGCTTCTCAGATCTGTTTCAAAAGATATAAACTAACGGATTACAACTTCACTTGTTTGGTGGTTTTACTTCAACACAAGAAATGTGTTGAAGAAGAAATTTGTGTCCTTGGGCAAGACACTTAACCCCACTTTGCCCAAAGCCCCCACTGAAAGATCAAGGCTATGCTCACACTCAGAGAGCAGCCGTCCTCCTGTGGACTCACCACCTGCAGAGGGTCAGTGAGGGGCTGGTGCTATGAGACTTGGGTGGCATCTCTGACTGCCACCCCCCTGACCCAGAAATGGATTAAAGGGTAGAAAATGGATGGATGGATGGACAAGAAATGAAAATTTTCTTTGAAAGTGACATTTGTTAAGTTTGAAAAGAAAGTTTGTTTTTCCATTGTGTGGTACCTCCCAAAAGTCATATAAGGCCTCGAAACATCTAGTAGAGGGAAAGGGAGAGATTGGCTTCTTAAAAATGTACTGTTTCTTTTTGCACTATCAGGCACATTGGATAATTAGGCAATGACTTAATGGAAGTTCACTCAAAACAAAGGCACGATGCAGTACGAATATCTAGTTGTTTGGTTTCAAGGACGACAAGGAAAATGACAATCAGGGAAATCAAACATTACTCGTATGTTTTCTTTGTATTTGCCAGTATAAACTCAACAAGTGCAATAACTGTAAACATGTTTGAAAAATGGCTATAAATCAATTTGAATTATTGAACGTACTGCATTGTATTATAAACTCTATCCCTTAAATGACTCAATTTTGTTATGAAAATAGCCGGGTCTGTAAACGGCCACATGATGAGAAAATTACGTTTGTTTATTTCTTTGGTCCACTCTATAAGTTCATTGGTGTTAAGATTAAGAGATCCTTTATTCAGTGTTGCATCATAAATTACAGAACAGTAGGACTGAGGAGCACACAGCACAAGGCAAATGAATAATATCTCAGCACTAAAATAAGTTAATTTATAATCTAACTCTAGCATAAAAATAAGCGGTATAAAATCTCTATCTTTACCATAAGTACAAAAATCTCTAACTTTAGCATAATAAAGAAGCACGTGTAAAATGTTGTATATTCTAGTGCAAGTACATAGTGTTTGCCTGAGGTTTGCCCATACGTTTCAGCACAGGGGTGATGTGCTCTTCCTCATTCTGACATTGTGCGCTCTGAGGAGGTCTGTAGCTCTGGACTGTGACCCTCTGGGAAGCCCCCTTGAGTCTGTGGGCTGCTGTGACGCTGTGCTCTCCCCGCAGGTTGTGGAGGACGGATACGAGTTCTTCGCCAAACGGCAGCTGGTCACGCTGTTCTCGGCGCCCAACTACTGCGGCGAGTTTGACAACGCGGGCGGCATGATGAGCGTGGACGAGTCGCTCATGTGCTCCTTCCAGGTAACTGCGCTGGAGGAAGATTTACAGAGGGGTTTGTGTCCAGATGGGGCGCCTGACTTCTAGAACAGGCACTGGGGACCTCTAACACTGTCACTATTAGTTGGTGGATTGTGGTTAGCGCTCGTGCTCCAGACAGGGCCTCGCTCTATGTGGTGTTTGCATGTTCTCCCCATCAATCAATCAATCAAGATTATTTATACAGCAGAATTCATGCAGTGCAACCGAAAGTGCTTGACAGACAAAAATCATCTTTTTTTTGGACACTCAGAGGTTCTTAGATAATGATGTATTTCTTCCATACACTGCTATAGCCACAGCTGCCCTGGGGCACACTAACAGAAGTGAAGCCGCTATTATGTGGCATTGGCCTGTCCAACACTACTCATAATAATAATAATACATTGATTCACACTTAAATAGTGCTTTTTGGACACTCTATGACAAAATAACAAATAAAAAGCTAAAAATAAACTCTTAGGTGTAGGCAGTTTTGAACAGGTGAGTTTTGAGATTTGAGATTCTATTACTTCTATTCTATTACTTATTACTACTACATTACTATTTACCCTTTACTCAAAACATACCACATCGGTAAAATTGGTTAACTATTTCCACTAATACTGTTTTAGTTACAGAATTATAGATTGAAACCCTCTGACTCTTATATCTATGTCCAGATCTTAAAGCCGTCGGAGAAGAAGGCCAAGTACCAGTATGGCGGGGTGAACGCTGGCCGGCCCGTGACCCCCCCGCGCACCGCCCAAGCCCCGAAGAAGAGGTGAATCCCCCGCTTCAACCAGCCACAGGGGGCACTCTCTCTCTTTCTCTCTCTCTCACCCCACTCCACTGACAGCTCTTTTCTTAATGTGTCCGTGTACATACATTCACCGTGCGCTTTCATCTGACTTGCCTGTTAATCGTTTTTTGATATTATTAACCGATCTTACAGTGGTGGACTTTTGAATTTTTGAAGTTTCGGTGTTGCAAAAATAAAATACGTAAATAAATCAAAGGACTTCTCTGCTTTTTCGAGAGGAAGTCGGAATGTTTTTTTGTTTGTTTTTTGAGTGAAAGATCCGATAGATTTGGTTTTTGCCTTGAGACGCCTCCCAATGTATTTAACGGACTGAGATTACTGTGCAATGTTGAATCCGTGTAGGAAAAAAAAAAGCCTATTTCATGATTTTTTTTTTTAGGTTTTAACCCTTGCATGTGCACGTGTTGTTGTGCACTAACCACTTGTATTAATTTTTTTTAAACCTTGTACCGTCTGTACAGGGGGTGTAGGGGGTGATTGGATTGTGCGAATTGTATATGAATTCAAATTCTCTCCAGAAAAAATAAATCTATTAAATGTCAGTTGTGAGAACGATTGTGTAGCCGCGTGGAGGCTTGTGCTACGGATCTGTGCGCATCCACCTGAGCAAAAATATTTCATAAAACCCAAAAGGAATTTACTTGCAATCCAATATTTAAGTAATCCCAACTGCTTTGTATACAAACTCCAAACACAGAGCCGGAACTACATCACATAGACTGAATGTGTAAATATATTTTTTAATGTTTAACTGTAACTGTATGTCTGGCTCACATTTACATAACATATCACTTGTGTTCATGCTCCAGCTAAAGGCGGACAACACATCAAAACATACTGCAATAGCTGTTTTGTCGGATTGGAACGTTTGAATAAGTGGTCTTGCGTTCATGACTGCAGCCACGGTTCAAATCGAGTCTTTTAGGTCACCAAGGAAAGTGAACCAGCTTCGTATTACAGGCCTCCCGAAGTCTAAGAGCGAGATACAAAATTATTGCCTATCGTTAGTGCGATCATTTCTCCCCCACTATAAAAGTTTGTGTTTTGATAGTTTGGGACAATGATGTCGCGTCAGACCACAAATTCGCTTGACTTTATAACTTTGCCCCAAAAACTGTGACATGAAAAGTGGCTTACCAAAGCAGTGAGGTGTGTTTGAATGACTCTCTCAAAGAATTCCTGGGTTGATTTTTGCGTTGAAGATATTGTGGAGACTCAATATTGTACATTTGAAAACGAGTGAAGTACTCTGGAAGGCTGGGCACCGGGTCTCGACAGGACTAGACTTGTGCTGCCCTCTGGTGGCGAGTACAGCGAAAACAAGACTTTTAGCTACTCATCCGTTTGGTTTACGATGTGAAATGGTCCAAAGCATTTTAACGATGTCCATAATGGCAGATACTTAAAACAGTTGCCTCTTTTAATGTTTTGTTTAAATTTTGCTCTTCTCGGGAGGTAGACATCTGGTTGTATTCTGTTTTTGTTTTCTCAATGTTTACCTCTTATTTGCATAATTTATTTCCTAAATAAATGTATTACAATGAGGTGTTACCAAAAGCTGTTTTGCAATTTGTACAAGTTTGTTTGAAAGTCTATACAATTAAATAAAATGGATAGAAGTAGATGGTATGGCCTGTGTGCTCATTGTCATTGCCATCATTATACTCATTTTTAATAAAATACATTTGTATAAGAATTTCACTAATTCTACATCTTTATCATTATAAAGAAACTATTCAATCCCTTATTCTCTTTTTCCTTAATGCAAGAATACAATTTGGTAAAACTAATAGCCTTTCAGATGTGCTGGTGGGTTTGGACTTTCTGAAGCAAATGCACAATTTTCACTTTAAAAAGATATAATAATGATAGGCTGTCGCAGGTATACAACTCTCATTCAAACTACTGAATTTAGATCGAAAGAACTTGGCAGAATTCAATTATTTTAAAGCTATCATTTCCGGGGGAGCGGATCCCTCTCTTAATGGGGGCCTCTCCAAGGTTTCTCACCTTTTCCCACTGGGCTTTAGAATTTTTCCTTGCCGATGCAGGAGGGTCTAAGGACAGTGGTGATGATCTAGAACATTCAACAACATTTATGGAGCAATACCAATGTGTTTTCTATCATTGCAATTCTTGTTATTGAACTGTTCTACAAGTCCTCCAAGAAAACTTCTGTTGTTAATTAGGGCTAGGCAAGATTACATTTAATTTAATTAATTCATACGTGTTTTGCATCACATACTGTTTGTAGCGTACGTAGCAAACCATGTTATAACAAAATATCCCACTTATACCACAAAATGGAGTTTTCACATTCATATATTTTCTACTTTATCCCTAAAGATTTGCTCAACCATGTGGTGGATCACTTTTTGAGTCACTTTAACTTGAAGCATGGAACTGACTGATCTACCTCATTGGGGCATCTCTATCACTTGGTTTTGGAACTTTTACCGTGAAGCTACATCTCAGACATTTTGTAGAAAACTATAATTTAAAAAATCTAGAAGGTTCAAAAAGTAAAAACTAATATTGTTTGGTATTAGTGCTGCTACATTAACAACAACAAAAACTTGGAACGCCTGGAAGTTGTGGATCATGCAGCAGTTTAATGATCTTTGTTCTTGTGACGGTTACGGTTGTGACGGTTACGGTTGTGGTGGCGGTTGTGGGGTCCTCTCTTGGTCCTGGAGAAGAGGACCTTGAGGGGCACAGAGTACAGCCACATGAGCATGGGCAGCAGGAAGCATGGGGCGCTGAAGTGCAGATGGGACAGGGCCCAGGCCAGAGCCAGCCACAGCCCGACTCTGAAGAGCACAGTGGCCCAGTGGATCAGCCTCTCCTTCCAGCCGTCTCCCTGCATCTGCAGCACCACAGAGGTTTGAACACTTAGACCTTGCAACCCCAGCTTGGGAACCACTGAAGATAAAGGTGGTCTCTTCTACAGTGCCTTGCGAAAGTAAATGTTGAACCTTTCAACATTTCACCACATTTCAGGCTTCAAACATAAATATATAAAATTTAATTTTTTTTGTCATAAATCAACAAGTGGGACACAACCGTGAAGTGGAACGAAATTTATTGGATAATTTAAACTTTTTTAACAAATAAAAAACTGAAAAGTGGGGCGTGCAATATTATTCGGCCCCTTTACTTTCAGTGCAGCAAACTCAGTCCAGAAGTTCAGTGAGGATCTTTGATTGATCCAATGTTGTCCTAAATGACTGATGATGGAAAATAGAATGCACCTGTGTGTAATCAAGTCTCCGTATAAATGCACCTGCTCTTTGATAGTCTCAGGGTTCTGTTTAAAGCGCAGAGAGAACCATGAAGACAAAGGAACACACCAGGCAGGTCCGAGATACTGTTGTGGAGAAGTTTAAAGCCGGATTTGGATACAAAAAGATTTCCCAAGCTTTAAACATCTTAAGGAGCACTGTGCACGCAGTTATATTGAAATGGAAGGAGTATCAGACCACTGCAAATCTACCAAGACCCGGCCATCCCTCCAAACTTTCATCTCAAACAAGGAGAAGACTGATCAGAGATGCAGCCAAGAGGCCCATGATCACTCTGGGTGAACTGCAGTTAACTACAGCTGAGGTGGGAGAGTCTGTCCATAGGACAACAATCAGTCGTGCACTGCACAAATCTGGCCTTTATGGAAGAGTGGCAAGAAGAAAGCCATTTCTCAAAGATATTCATAAAAAGTCTCGTTTAAAGTTTGCCACAAGCCACCTGGGAGACACACCAAACATGTGGAAGAAGGTGCTCTGGTCAGATGAAACCAAAATCGAACTTTTTGGCCACAATGCAAAACGATATATTTGGCGTAAAAGCAGCACAGCTCATCACCCTGAACACACCATCCCCACTGTCAAACATGGTGGTGGCAGCATCATGGTTTGGGCCTGCCAGAGATTTATCTTCCAACAGGACAATGATCCAAAACATAAAGCCAAATCTACAATGGAATGGTTCACAAATAGACGTATCCAGGTGTTAGAATGGCCAAGTCAAAGTCCAGACCTGAATCCAATCGAGAATCTGTGGAAAGAGCTGAAGACCGCTGTTCACAAACGCTCTCCATCCAACCTCACTGAGCTCGAGCTGTTTTGCAAGGAAGAATGGGCAAGAATTCCAGTCTCTCGATGTGCAAAACTGATAGACATACCATAAGCGACTTGCAGCTGTAATTGCAGCAAAAGGTGGCGCTACAAAGTATTAGCGCAAGGGGGCCAAATAATATTGCACGCCCCACTTTTCAGTTTTTTATTTGTTAAAAAAGTTTTAATTATCCAATAAATTTCGTTCCACTTCACAATTGTGTCCCACTTGTTGTTGATTCTTGACAAAAAATTTAATTTTTATATCTTTATGTGTGAAGCCTGAAATGTGGCGAAAGGTTCAAGGGGCCGAATACTTTCGCAAGGCACTGTATTTCTGTTATCAATCTATTATATCTAACTATTGTAAATGAGACATGATCTTTGGATTATGAATTTTAGAATGTTTCAAGCAACAAAACTCCTACACATATTGGGGGCTCACGTTTCCATGGTGATACATCAACAGCACACGGTGAGCACAGAACCCCCATCTTTTCTTTGAGGAGTTTTCTGTCCCAGTGCAGGTTTTTATGGCAAACTGTTTAAAATGCAAAGAACTCATTTAAAATGTCTTCATTGTGAGATCAATAAAGTTAATCAATCTTATCTTACAGGAGGTATAGAGGAGGATTCTCCAAAAGTTTAGGAAAGAACCGCCAAAATGACAAATGACAAATTATGTAAATGTCTGCTGTACTGTCCTGTTCTGTAATTGTGGATATGTCATGTGGTCTTTCCTGTTCTTTACGTTAAATGTATTTCTTTATTCTCGGCCCCTTACAACCACAGATTGAAACCAGCCATGAGCTAAATCTGGTGTATTTACAGTTCTACCGTTCATTAATGCACACTGTCCCGCTGAATAAATACATAGATAAGTGTATAGTATCAATCTGTAATGTGGGCTGTAAGAAGGGGACTGTTGCCATGGAGCTGCAGGTGTGTTGTGCTCGGCCCTGGGCCCCTGCAGCCTGGGGTCCCCTCCATCCTCATGTCCCAGACGTCCACAGAGTGGGAAGACTGTTGATGTTTGAAATTCTCCCATGTGTTCCTCTGGTCCTTTTGATCCCACTACAAAACCAGTTGCTCATTGTTTGAGTCATTTGTAATAGAAATATGATTGAGTTGATTACACAAGGATAATATATTTTCACATTTGCTAAACTTGAATTTAGAATGATTATTATTCAAAAAGAGTGTTGCAACTGCGGTCCCATGTCGATGGGGAATCAGAGAGTGACAGGTTTGTGACACATTGCTTGAAGAGGGAACAAACGGTCAACAATAAAAAATAAAGCACTCTCACCTGAACGCCAGTGTCTGCCATATTTAAATGTACTGGGACAACTGTTTCCATAGCAACCCCAAAAGTTAACATTTTTCCCAAGAGTTTATTCAGCAGAGCAGGTCAGCTACGTCTGAATTGTGGGACAGCGTTGGATTAGTGTAATGTAAAGTAGCAATATGTAAGATTTTCATGCAAAGTCCTCATTAAATGGCCCTAATCTGTCAAAAGCCGTTAATAAACCATGCTCTTCTCAAATACTTCTTTAACTGATCATATTAGTTCATCCGAGATATTTTGATTTCAAATTATTTTTACAGCTCCCAAAATCTTGTATGGTCCATTTCCTTTCGCCTTCACTTTCTCCATTAACTGTCTTGCTAGTGTTGTAATCGTAGATGTATCTACTGCCGAAATAATGTATAATGTATATATTGAGCGTTAGTGGCGTTGCCCCTGGCAACCGATAGAGGATCCTATCAACATGGCCGACCGAATTAGACCCCGCCCAAATTATCACGTGACTCCTCATTCTCAATTATTTTCATTTCGATGTCCCGCCCTCCACCGTTTTACCAATCAGAAAGTCTGGGATCCGGGTTGCCAGAACTCACTGCGCCGAGCTAATCTCACTGGTAAAGTAACATGTGGCCGAAGTACTAAAAAGTCTCGTTATGATTCTCAAATAATTATTGATAAAACAAAGAATAAAACCAGGATTTATATATTTGTGAAAAAGGTGTTGGTTATAGATTTGCTCTACGTTTGTCTATTCGGATATTATGGTCCCAGCTGAATTCGTTTGCATATCTGGGAACCTGAATCGGGAGAGTGGGAGAGGTAGCAGCTTCTTTAAAACTAAAAACAATGATATTAAACAATCATAATGACAAAAAATTAAGTAAATGTATATTTCAATTATCTGACCCCAGTATGTATATGTATAGTTTTTATATTGTTGTAAATACACTTTATTGATCTCACAATGGAGACATTTACGTCCATCCATCCATCCATTCACCCATCCATCCATCCATGGATGGATGAGTCTTCATACAGTCATATTATTGAATACTGTCTTATTTGGCACACTTTTAATTAAAATAATATTTTCTTTTCCCTTTCTGATCACATGGGGCGCTGTCCCATTTTACTCCACTTCCTTTTTTAATCTCAGGCTACATTCAATTCAGAAAACACCCTTCTTCCCTTGCTTAATGTTCAAGGGAATGTTCTTTTTTAATACACAAAGTAAATCTAACTTTGGTAAGACCTTTTAAATACCTAAGTGAAATCTAGCGGCAACAAAGTCGTTGTAAACAAGAAGGAAGGATAAAGCATCTCTAATGAATTCAGCTGCGGCCATCTCCAACAGCTTCCACTCGTGTGACAGGAGATTTATCCCTATTTTCACGCGCATTAAGAATCTAAATCTATGTGTTTTATCGTGGCTTTATTGTCAAACGATGTCAACAGAGCCTTCCCCCTCTCTTATGTGTGGCATTGGTCCATCACAGCCTGTGTTTACGGGTCTGAAGTTCACCCGTGCAGGTAAGCTAGCTGTCCCCACGGTGTTATGCTAGCTGGAATCTCGAAACTTTCCTTTCTTGTCATTCCTTTGAGAGTCTGCGTGTGTTTGTGTCTTGTCAACAAATTCAATCTGTGAGTATCCAAATGATAAAGCAAACGCGTTTAGAATCTTTATCTGCATTGAGTATATGAATAGTCTGATAAAATATACCACGCATGTGTGTTGTCTGTGATTTGCTGTAGTTATTATATTGACTACAATTATACTACCACTGCTTAAAGAAGAAGCTCTGCCATTTCTGTTTTCTAATCTAAAAAGGTTGGAAACCCATGGTCTATGTCATGCTGTTTTCCAGCCAATTAGAAACTAATTACTTGATAATATAAAATACTATTCAAAAAGCAGAAGAGTGTTAAGTGTTGTGTCTTAATTACCATACAAATATGTTACAAATAATAATACCATTAGTAATAATAAATACATAAATAAGCCTATTCGGCATCGCATGAGGTTCTGCTGCTTTGTGTCAAAGGTTATCGACTGTGGCCCAGATATTGAATGTTTTGAGCTTTGTAAAATCCTTGTCCCGTTTAGAAATTCGTCCTCAATATTTATGAACATTTGGGCCTAATGTATTAAGACATAACTGCTCAAAACTGCTTTTAAGATATGGGTTAAGCATTATCATAAACACACAGGGCCCTACAACTTTTCACCTCACAGATGTGTAATGTCCTGAAATGAGGAAACATAATCTCTACCACTTTATAAGAATAGTTGTAAAATGTTTCATAATACGTTTTTTTAGGTCTTGATTGTATTATTTTGTTGATTGAAACAGCTGAAATTATGCCTCAGCTGTTGTCATTTTGCCTTCGGAGTAGGTCTGTCACATTAACAAATATTGGTGATATATTGATCGAAGGCAAGGCAAGTTTATTTGTATAGCACAGTTCATACATAAAGCAGCTCAAAGTGATGTTGATCTATTAGTGAAAAAAAGAAAAAAAAACACTGAATATTGGCAGCTCTGCATTTGTTCAGGTCTTTATTTTCGATTGCTTGTGTTGCAGGTCCCTCATGGCTGGAGCTCTGAAATGAATGGCATCCAGATCGGACGCATTCCACATCCACAATGAACGGGTCATTCTAAGTACGTACAATGGCGAGGCTCCGGCGCAAAAGCTGCATCTCCATCTTGGCCGTGCTTTTCCTCGTCCTGGTGGCGTCCGTGGTGCTGAGGAACCTGCCGTCGGAGCACTCCAGCCCACTGAGCTTAGTGCAACCTGTGGAAATGGAGCGCAAGGACTTAAAACCGTCAAAAACACCCATCCGCCTTGAAAGAGACCCGCAACTGGAGGAGACCTTGAGGAAGTTCCCGCCGCCGAACTACTATGTGCACGCGTTCTACTATCCCTGGTACGGGAATCCCAAGTTTGACGGGAGGTACGTGCACTGGGACCACGTGCAGCTGCCGCATTGGGATGCGAAGGTGGCGCAGGGGTATCCACAGGGAAGACACGTCCCGCCTGAGGATATTGGGTCGAACTATTACCCCGCACTGGGACCGTACAGCTCCAAAGACCCGGCAGTGGTGGAGAATCACATGCAGCAGCTGCGGATGGCGGCAATAGGTAAAGCTGACACTAATGTGTTAGAAAGGCGCGAATGTGCTTTTGGGTGCCTCACAGCCAGCAGAAAGAGCATCTTGTAAAAGAATAATGTCAGATCACAACATGCTGTATAAGAAAACATTTTATTTTTTGCAGAACCTTGTTTGTCAATAAAATGCTTTGGGCTAAGTGAGGGTGGTCATTTCACTTCTCTGTCTGAAAAGTTAATCTGAAGTGAGAGGCCAAACAATACATGCATGAGAGAGTGATAGAACCAGACAGTTTTGAGAAAATCGTTACATGGATTTTATTGCATAGTTTAACTTTAAATGTACTGTTTTCAAGTTGCTCAAACTAAGTTAGTCTTGGTCCAAACTATGGGCTGGACACAGTTAAAGTACAATCATTAAAGTCTTAAGCTGCGTTCCCATCATGGCTATATCGTCAGATTATGCATTACATTTGTATTAAATTATTGTGAATGATTTTCTGTGTTGAAGTAAAAATAAAAATATCTTTCAACTCGATGTTTCCCTCGTTGTGATCTACGTGAACTGTGTAATGTGTGCCTTGTGTCGCTGCAGGCGTCATGGTTGTGTCCTGGTATCCCCCAAACCTAAAGGACGATAATGGAGAGCCCTTAGACGACCTGATGCCTCTCCTGCTGGACATAGCCCACCGATACCACATTAAGGTAATCATATTTATTCGGTGATCAAATCAAAATAAATCAAAACTATAACCGACAAATATTTTGTATTTATGACAAATAATTTCAAATTTCCCCGCCAAATCCATGTTAAAAAAAAAACCTTATACCTTTGCTCCTCATATTCATTCATTACATTCCTATTTGCATGTTTAAGTTTATTTTCTTCCTTGTAAGCAGTGGCTGTCCTCGCGCTCACATTGACCTCATTTACCAGTCCTTTAAAGACATGCGTGTTTATAATCTGTAGGAGCCATAAATTGAATATAACAGTGGGCTGTGATTTGATTGGGTGATAGGCCGGGTGTGGGTCACGTGGTTACTGGGGCGGTGTCTACTTAGTTCTCACCTCAGTTTTATGAATGAAATCAGTAGTAGAGAGAGGGGGCTGCGTCGCCGTAGTTTGTGTTGACCGTTTGTTTGTGTTTGTTTCTTTTGTACCTTCGTTTTCTCACTGTTCCGTTCAATCTCAAGACGTCTGTGTTATGTTATCACCGCATCCGTGTACATTCTCATTAAAACGGCACCAAACGTAATCCCTGTCGAAGTGTGCTCTGTGACAGCCAAGCAACGCGTCATACAATTAGACAAACCCGGTTTCTCCTCTCCAGCGGCAATAGGCACTAGAGTCGCTACATAATCTATTCATCTACTCTTTACTTGTAGAAAAGAGACGCTTTTTTTCAAATGGTGTTCGTACACTTCTTGTTTCCACTGTAGATGTATTGTTCTGTTTTATGTATCATTCTTCAGAGAGGGCTCATGAGAGTTCCAGATGCTTTTAATGGGCACTTCAAAACAAAGCAAACAAAAATAATACCCTCTTTCCAAGTTCAGATTGTGTACAAACAGTTTTCGTCCAGTTTTTTAAAGCAAACGTTGAACAAACATTGTTTATTCCCTGAAGGAGGCCTTTCGTTGCCCAAACACGTTGCTCGTCCTTTTTCATTAAAGGATTTCAAAGTCGTGAGGCAAAGTTGTGGGGCGACAGTAGCTCAGTTGGTAGAGCATTGGCCTTAAGGCCAGAAGGTCGTGGGTTCAATTCCCACCTCTGCACCTTCTCCACCGACTCCCACTGATGACTGCTGTTGTTGTGTCCTTGGGCAAGACACTTAACCCCACTTTGCCCAAAAAGCCCCCACTGAAAGATCAAGGCTATGCTCACACTCAGAGAGCAGCCGTCCTCCTGTGGACTCACCACCTGCAGAGGGTCAGTGAGGGGCTGGTGCTATGAGACTTGGGTGGCATCTCTGATTGCCACCCCCCTGACCCAGAAATGGATTAAAGGGTAGAAAATGGATGGATGGATGGATGGATTTCAAAGTCAAGAGTGCCTCAGATTTCCTCCTTTCTCAAACATTTCAGATAGTTGACAGTTTTCCTTTATTCTGAGTAAATGTTATACAATGCTGCTCTTGTCATGGACAGTGAAGGGTTAAAGTCTCAGTGATGATTACTGAAACTTTTAGTTACTCATCCATGTCATCACAACACACTCTAAATGTTGTTATTGATGGATTTTCCCATTGATATGTTCTCTCTTCCCATTATTTCCATCTCAAATTTCTTGCTCCTAGTTTATGAATAACTAACTGCCTGGTGTGTTTGTCACAGGTCATTTTCCACATTGAGCCGTACAAAGATCGTGATGAAGTCAACATGCTCACCAATGTCAAGTACATCATTGATAAGTAAGTTCTGTGGAAGTGACGCGTATTCATGCCACATTAGTTTATCTAAGCATTTATTAGATTTGCAGGTTCAGACAGTAACTATGAATCTTCAAGTTTACAAGTCAGAATTATGAAATAGAAGCAGTTATTAAATAAGTACTAACCTCCTCTACTTCCACAAATATCACATGTGCTTCTCGAATCTAGCATAATTACAGCTGTTTTGTGACGGCCTCAGAGCTCTGTCTAGTGCATATCGGTTAATAAACAGCATCATGAAGGCAAAGGAACCCCCAGAGAACAACGTTAAAGTGATAGTCTGTGTAACTAAATGAATTACAAATTTTAGGAAATGTGTTAAATTGACCTCCTGGCCTTAAATGTTGATATTAAATAAGTCATTTTATTAATTCTAATATTACGGGCAAGTCCCGCCTTCCCTGCTCTTAGCTATTGACCCCTTGCATGTGACGTCCCGGCCACGCCCACTCTCCATGACAGACGGCAGAAGTCTAACTGCGAGCCTACGGACACCTGACCAAAACAACCTGTTTCAGCGCATTACATCCAAAACTGACATTTTGCAGTGCGGTTGATTATACTAACAGGCAAGGACATACGCTTTTTTATCTGATACCTGCTTGTCATGAAGACAGAAGACGACGATGGCCAGCGGCAATCAACCAAAAGGACTGGGACCCATCCAAGTACTCCCTAATATGCAGTGAACACTTTTTACAAGATAAAGCAATCACAAGTTTGTATTTATTTTATTTCCATTAATTTGGAGGACAATGACACACGTCAAACGTCTCTTACTACTGTCCTGTATGTGCGCTGCAACATTGGACATTTTTATCTGTTAAGTCAATTGCGTGTTTCACTATTTTCCTCTCCGTCAGTACGTATCATGTTTGGCTGTAGACAGAAAAGCCACAGAAAAGTGGACTATTGCCAATGCTACCAGCAAAATGTACATATAAATCTGCTCCAGTGTAAGGGGATGCATTGTTAACGATAATGATAAAGATCATGTAGGGTGAATTCGGGCAAAAATAGACATTTTATTTAGTCGATAAAATTGACTGGGGGGGAAGGTACGGGTCAACATCCAGTTAGGCAATCCTTAACTTCTCCAAATACCACTCTTTGTGAGCCCTGACCTGATGTCCTACTTCCACCTATAACGTAATCGAACATGTGCTTGAAGCAGCCACTTCTCGATTTAGGAGAGGAAGCTCCGTTTTTAAGAGTTGTGTCCGTTTTGCTCTCGCAGCAATGCTAGTTTCCAATACTTCCGCCGTAAGCTCATTCACAATCAGGTGACTGGATGACGTTGATGCATCTGGTCAATAGCTCAGAATCCACGGTGCCGTCGAGGTTAACCAATCGAGTCATGCCAAGGGCTGTCAATCATTGGCGCTGATGCTCGTAGCTGCGCGCATGCGCAGTTGTTTGTTTTCGCGGGGCCTCTGAATCAAGCCTCTATTAGGCTCTGGAACTACATGAAAACTGAACAAAGAATTCTGAACATCCGCGCTGAGGTACTTATGTATATTCTGAACCTATATCCATAATCAGATCCTCTGCAGATGTGTCCTATAATGTGCAATTCATGACAATAGCACTTCCTGGTTTGCCGCGATCGCTTTTTTTGTGCATAAAAACATTATTTTTTTCATTAAAACGTTCACAAATAATTCTGAAAACCTCCGTGCATGTGTATTAATAATGTATATGTACAGTGCCTTGCGAAAGTATTCGGCCCCCTTGAACCTTTCAACATTTTGCCTCATTTCAGGCTTCAAACAAAGATATAAAAAATTAATTTTTTGTCAAGAATCAACAACAAGTGGGACACAATCGTGAAGTGGAACGAAATTTATTGGATAATTAAAACTTTTTTAACAAATAAAAAACAAAAGTGGGGCGTGCAATATTATTCGGCCCCCTTGCGCTAATACTTTGTAGCGCCACCTTTTGCTGCAATTACAGCTGCAAGTCGCTTGGGGTATGTCTCTATCAGTTTTTCACATCGAGAGACTGGAATTCTTGCCCATTCTTCCTTGCAAAACAGCTTGAGCTCAGTGAGGTTGGATGGAGAGCGTTTGTGAACAGCAGTCTTCAGCTCTTTCCACAGATTCTCGATTGGATTCAGGTCTGGACTTTGACTTGGCCATTCTAACACCTGGATACGTCTATCTGTGAACCATTCCATTGTAGATTTGGCTTTATGTTTTGGATCATTGTCCTGTTGGAAGATAAATCTCTGTCCCAGTCTCAGGTCTTCTTCCAGAATGGTCCTGTATTTGGCTCCATCCATCTTCCCATCAATTTTAGCCATCTTCCCTGTCCCCGCTGAAGAAAAGCAGGCCCAAACCATGATGCTGCCACCACCATGTTTGACAGTGGGGATGGTGTGTTCAGGGTGATGAGCTGTGTTGCTTTTACGCCAAACATATCGTTTTGCATTGTGGCCAAAAAGTTCGATTTTGGTTTCATCTGACCAGAGCACCTTCTTCCACGTTTGGTGTGTCTCCCAGGTGGCTTGTGGCAAACTTTAAACGAGACTTTTTATGGATATCTTTGAGAAATGGCTTTCTTCTTGCCACTCTTCCATAAAGGCCAGATTTGTGCAGTGCACGACTGATTGTTGTCTTATGGACAGACTCTCCCACCTCAGCTGTAGTTATTTGCAGTTCATCCAGAGTGATCATGGGCCTCTTGGCTGCATCTCTGATCAGTCTTCTCCTTGTTTGAGATGAAAGTTTGGAGGGACGGCCGGGTCTTGGTAGATTTACAGTGGTCTGATACTCCTGCCATTTCAATATAATTGCTTGCACAGTGCTCCTTGAGATGTTTAAAGCTTGGGAAATCTTTTTGTATCCAAATCCGGCTTTAAACTTCTCCACAACAGTATCTTGGACCTGCCTGGTGTGTTCCTTTGTCTTCATGGTTCTCTCTGCGCTTTAAACAGAACCCTGAGACTATCAAAGAGCAGGTGCATTTATACGGAGACTTGATTACACACAGGTGCATTCTATTTATCATCATCAGTCATTTAGGACAACATTGGATCATTCAAAGATCCTCTCTGAACTTCTGGACTGAGTTTGCTGCACTGAAAGTAAAGGGGCCAAATAATATTGCACGCCCCACTTTTCAGTTTTTTATTTGTTAAAAATGTTTAAATTATCCAATAAATTTCGTTCCACTTCACGATTGTGTCCCACTTGTTGTTGATCCATGACAAAAAATTAAAATTTTATCTTTATGTTTGAAGCCTGAAATGTGGCAAAATGTTGAAAGGTTCAATACTTTCGCAAGGTGTTCTCTGGTTAACATTTCAAAGTGTTACGGAAACGTAGGTGTAGATCAATCAGAAAGGAAGGGGGAGGGAGCTTGCGTCGTTTTTTTCAAATCAAGTACCTCTCTGTCTCTCTTTCTGACAAACTCCAGACAATCACTTTAAGCTATAGAAAGGTTTCCCACGTTATCTCACCTGGCACTGTTCAATACTTTATTCAGAAATGAAAAGAATATGGCACCACTGCAAACCTACCAAGACGAGGGCGTCAACTTTAAATACTAATTTGAACAAGGAGAGCGCTGATCAGAGATACGACCATGTAGTGACTCTGGAGTAGCTGCGACCTTCACAAGCTAAATGTGGACATGGGGCAAATATTTGTCATACACTACACAAATCTAGCCTTTAAGTGGAAAGAAGAACGCCATAATTGTTGAAAGTAAGAATTCCCATTTTTAGTTTGTCAGAAGTCATACGGTGGACACAAATACCGTGTGCAAACGGAGGCTGTGGTTGGATTAGACCAGAATTTGTATCAAAAAATAATAGTTAGTTACAGCCCTATCCTCACAGGGAAGATGGATGGACTTAACTACTGTTGGAGTCAGTACAACACTTTACCTTGTACCTATTTCATCCTCACGGTTCTGGTCAGAATGTGAGTCTAAAACTATGCCTCTTAGGGCCACTCTAAGGGCTCCATGCATGCACCACTTCCGCGTTTTAGTTACAACCCCACCTCACTTCCTGTTCGCGGGAAACGGCTTGAGTTTCGCTTTGAGTTCAGCAGTGGTTTACACAAGTGTCCTAAATAATGCTCAAACAGGAATTAAACTGTGAGGATACTGGCCATTTTTGGGACACAGCGGTGCTCTTTGATTGTGTTGTCATTGTGTTTTTATAAAGTTTACAAATCTCTCTGAGTGGCCACATTCAAAGCTCTACCTCAGAGAGAAAGCACAGCAACACTTTTGGGTCAGTCTCACAGCTGAATGTATCAATCTCATTACTAAAAAACGTCACTACAACTCACCTAAAAGCCATAGGATCCAAAACTTCTTAAAACAATTCGACTCCCCTTTGAAATGAACGGATATGAGATGCATTGTACAAACAGAGAACATAAACATGGAGGTGGTGTGGCGTTATATATTGACAACCATGTCAATGGCTCTATTGTAGAAAACATGTCTTTTGCGGTCGAAGAACTTTTTGAATGCATAACGATGAAATTAGCTATTCCAAAAACGAAACCTATTATTGTAAGTTGTGTTTACAGGGCACCGGGAGCTGACATTAAGGCTTTCAATGAATGGATGGAAAAAATATTTATGAACAAAAGTAAAAAAGATGTTATCATATGTGGAGACTTTAATATTTATTTATTAAATCCTTCCATCCATCCATCCATCTTCTTCCCTTTAATCCATTTCTGGGTCAGGGGGGTGGCAGTCAGAGATGCCACCCAAGTCTCATAGCACCAGCCCCTCACTGACCCTCTGCAGGTGGTGAGTCCACAGGAGGACGGCTGCTCTCTGAGTGTGAGCATAGCCTTGATCTTTCAGTGGGGGCTTTGGGCAAAGTGGGGTTAAGTGTCTTGCCCAAGGACACAACGACAGCAGTCATCAGTGGGAGTCGGTGGAGAAGGTGTAGAGGTGGGAATTGAACCCACGACCTTCTGGCCTTAAGGCCAATGCTCTACCAACTGAGCTACTGTCGCCCCCATTAAATCCTAAAAAACACAAACCCAAAGAATAATTCCTAGTTACCATGTTCTGAATGAGCCTATACCCACTTATAACAAAACCAACGAGGATCAGTTCACACAGCGCCACCTTAATAGACAAAAAATGTTGTAATACTTTGGACAAAAACCTAACCAGTGGCCTGTTAATAAACAATGTGAGTGATCATTTACCAGTCTTCATGATCTATGACACAAACTGTAAAATAACCACGCCTACTCAAAGTGAACACCATTATAGAGTCATCACCGATCAAGCAACAATAGCTCTATAAAACGAATTGGCAAAACAAACCTGGGAGTCCATCTACCATTCGCCAGTTGTCAACACAGCTTACAATGGCTTCATTCAGATACTCACCACCCTTTATGATAAACATTATCCAGTCAGAAAATGAAACAAAAAGGACCACACAAAAACACCATGGATGACAAAAGGGCTCTCGAATGCTTGCTAAAAGAAAAAATACCTATATATGCAATTTCTTAGAGTTAGAACGAGATAAAATTAAATGAGATATAAAAAATACAAAAATAAATTAACCAGTATATTGCGAGCAAGTAGAAAAGAATATTATACAAATTTACTGATAACTAAAAAAAACGATATTAAAGCAATTTGGATCATATTAAATGATGTCATTGGTCAAAGCTCCAGCCTGTGTTATCCAGGGTTTTTTGTGGAGAATGAATCTATCATAAGTGATAAAAAGAGCATTGCGGATGGTTTTAATAATTTCTTTGTCAGTATAGGCCCCGACCTCGCAAAAAATACCCCATCGGAAAGTGACATTGGGAAGGGATTGATCGAAATAAATCATAGATCAACGTTCCTCACTCCCACATATGAGGAGGAAGTCCATAGCATTACAAGGACATTTAAGAACAAAACATCTCGAGATATAGACGACATTGATATGCGAACCGTACGAAATATAGCAACAGAGATTATTAAACCATTCACACACATCTGCAGTTTATCATTCCAACTTGGCTACTTCCCCTCCCAAATGAAGAGTGCAAAAGTCATCCCAATATTCAAAACAGGAAATAAACATTGCTACAATAATTATCGGCCTATCTCCCTTCTGCCACAATTTTCCAAAATACTGGAAGAATTGTCTGACACAAGACTACGTGGTTTCATTCAGAAGTGCAATTTACTGTCTGATGCTCAATATGGATTCAGGAAAAAACTATCAACATCACTTGCTTTAATAGACCTAATTGAGGACATTGCAAACGGTATTGAAAAGAATAATTTTGTAGTAGGAATATTCATTGACCTTCAAAAAGCTTTTGACACAATTGACCATCACGTCCTAATAAATAAAATGGAGGCTCATGGCATAAGGGGGCTGGCCCAAAACTGGTTGGTGAGTTACCTGAATGGTAGGAAGCAACTTGTACAGTTTGAACAACACAGTTTAAGTTTGGGGAAAATGTTACAAGTCTCATTTGCAGCCTCTATTTATTTTACAAAAAAAGGCCATAAGGATCGTGTCTAATGTCCACTACAGACACCCTTCAAATCAATTGTTCATTGAAACTAAACAACTTAAACTGCATTACTTGGTTAACCTTAGAACTGCTCAGATAATGCTCATGGCATCTGAAAGCTCTCTGCCAGCCAACTTACAAAAGCTTTTTCATGATAGAGACGCCCATCACAAGTACAGGCTTAGAGGAAACAAACAACTATATGTCCCTAAAGTGAGAACAACATTGAAATCTATGTGTATCTCTACCAGAGGAGTGAAGATCTGGAATGATTTAACGGAAGCATTAAAATCATGCTCCAACATGACTAAGTTTAAGAAACATTTCAAAAAAGAAATACTGCAGAAATACGCAGAAGGAGGAGCATGATTCCCTGAGCAGTACCTGAGCATTAAGCAAGTGGTGTGTGGTCGGTGAACGTTTGGGGCCAGTGTCTGAGTGAGTGAGTCTTGTCCTGTCTGGTCTTGTCATGTGTTGTCCCAGTGTTGTATCGCTCCTGTTCTGCTTGCCCTGATTGTCTTTTTTCCTGAGTTCTGCCTGCGTGTGCAACTTGAAAAATGATGGAATTATTCAACTGGTCCCTCAATGCAATTTATACTACTTTTTTATCGCGTAAAGGCGGTTCTGGAGATGCCGTCTGTCCGGATGGTACAGCGGCTGCTGGGTACGTTTTTGACAACTGGCAAAAGTGGCACCCCGTTTGTCTGTCGGGACTGTCCATCGAAGACATTGAGGATGTATACATTTTTGGATTTATGGTAGCAGGGTTCCTCCTGATTTGGAGTTGGCCTGATCTTTGGCAACGTCAGAGGAATGTCCACTCAGAAGATTTACGAACGGCTTTCCGCGGAAAACAAGGATAGTTTCCGTGAGTTGACCATGGTCGTGGTCGAGGGCGCTGTTGGGACACAGAGGGTTGTGGTACAGATCGAACATTCCCTTAAAGACCTGGGATTAAGGTCTATGGAAGAACATAAATGTTTAGAAGGATTGATTGAAGGACTTGGGCCTCATGGCGAACACTCGCACTGACGTGGTCAACTCTGGAGAACGGTGAACAGAAGGATCCAGTTCCAGTTAATTTGGAATTATTTGGTTTTAAAGTCTACACTGCCTTTGATTTGACCAGCTAAAGTGCTTTACAAATGTCCACAAGGCATTCTAGGGTTGCCAACTTGAGAACAAAAAAATAAGGGACACCTTTTGGGTGGATCGGGTTTAGCATTTTTAGTCCTAATTTCAGTCTACACAGTAATCATTTACTTTCAATTAAATTACTAATCACAGTTTTTAGATTGTAATTTATTGACTACATATAAAAAAAAACAAATCCATAGTCAAAAATGAAATAGAATAAATAGGTGGAACTCTTTGGCTGGTTAAGGACTTAATGCATTCTTATTAGTAATAAAAAAATATATAAAAAAGACAAATACTGTATCATACATTATTTATGAATGTTACAGTAAAGACCATTTTCTGTAAAAGCAAATAAAAAAAGAAAAACATGTATTCATTAAAAAAAACTCACAACTCAAAGTCTGTAGCAGTTCGATATGATTCGATTATTATTATTGTTTGTTAACAAAGCTGGTCTGGATATTTGTTGACAGTCCCTAAGTGCTTTTCTCGGCGCTTGCAGTGCATTGGATTCAATGGATTTCTCTGCATTAAAACACCGCATTGAATTTGTAAAATCAACGTAGAGATGATAATTTTAGCACAATTACTTTTGTTTAACAAAGTAGCTTTCGTGAGCTATTGACCGCGGAAGTCCCAATCTGGGAAAATGACGCTACTTTACAAAACTTCTGCCGTGATGGTGCTGCGGGCACGGTTCACGCTGGCGATTGTCAACGTTAAACCAACGTTTGTGATCAAGCCTACCCCCCTTTGACACTGATTGGCCGAAAGGTAGATGCATAAACTGTGATCCCTACTGTGTGTGTGCGTGTGTCGCGCACGTGTGACATGCAGTGAGTGATGCATTTAAGGTGGCTCTGAAAAAAAGCCGTCCCGTATCAGTTCAATACGGGAGGCACATAGTTTTTCTATAATACGGGACAATTCCGTATTTCAAGGGACGGTTGGCAACCCTAGTAGGCACCTGCTCTTATCTTTGTCCTCCACATTCCACCACACAGCCGGCCTTCAAGGCCGAAGATGGACTTCTCTCATAACTTACAGACTCACCCCTCCCCCTACACCTCCCCCACCCACACTCCCCCTCTGACAAGCCATATTGGACGAGGCGGTTCAGAGTGACAACGTCCCTTTAAAAAGATCTGCATGCTTCCTGTATGTACTGTTTCCATCCAATAATTTCTGTTGAAATATTTGTTTTGCTCTCTGCTGTTGAATAACTGTCATAAGGAGCGCGGATATGTTGTCCGCAGCCAGCCTTGATGTTTATTCATCAAACTGAATTTCTCCATCTGTGAGATAATAAAGTATTGATTGATTGATATGTTGATGATTCCAACCAACAGATCATCATTTTTCCACCAAACGCTGTAAAAATGTGTTTAAGCTTAGAACTTCCATAAACATGGCTTTTTGTGTATCAAATTTCACAGAAAAGACATTGTCAGAGAAATTGCTCACAATGGGATTTACGTTACCATATCAAAAGCTCTAATTCTATTGGTTTCATTTTTATTTCCCCGCTCAGATACGGAGACCACCCCGCCTTCTTCAAATACCGCACCACGAACGACAAGCTGCTGCCTCTTTTCTACATCTACGACTCATATTTGATGAACTCCGAGCAGTGGGCCAAGCTCCTCAAGCACACGGCCAGCGACAGCATCCGCGACACTCCGTACGACTCCCTCTTCATCGCGCTGCTCGTGGAGGAGAAGCACAAGCGCCACATCCTCACCGCTGGCTTCGACGGCTTCTACACGTACTTCGCCACCAATGGCTTCTCGTACGGCTCCACGCTGAAGAACTGGGACGGACTCCGGGCCTTCGCCGAGGACAACAACCTGCTTTTCATTCCCAGCGTGGGGCCAGGGTATATCGACACCAGCGTTCGCCCGTGGAACTTCCAGAACACGCGCAACCGCATCAACGGCAAGTATTATGAGACGGCCCTGAGCGCTGCGTTGGAAGCCCGGCCGGATTTCATGTCCATAACGTCTTTTAACGAGTGGCACGAGGGAACGCAAATAGAGACGGCGGTGCCAAAGACGAGCCAGACTGTGTATTTGGACTACCTGCCCAACAAGCCCACCATCTACCTGGAGATAACGCGCAAGTGGGCAGCCATATTTGGAAGCGAGAGACGGCGGTGGCAAGACTGAGGTTTTTGAGCCATAACCAAAGTGTGATGATAAATGGATTGGTAGTTATTGCACTGAACAGACTTAATAATGTGAAAAAAAAAAATCTTAGAAGCAATCCAGAGCTATTCCACATTCTCACACATTCCTCACAGTGTCGAGTTATTAGCACTTTATGCGACTGTTAGAAACTACATTTTTTTACATTTTTATTGCGTTCACTGTGAGGCTTAACTCCCTGCTGTTGTCAGCAGGGGGCAGCAGACTGTAGTACCTGGCAAAACAGACCAGAACTACACATCATGCTCTATTTCTATTTTTGGCCCTGAAACAGAGTTTAGGGATATTTACTAAAGCAGGTTCTATGTGTAAATGAATTTGAGATGGCCAGGATGAGCAATACTTCCATCTAGTGGTAGAAGTGGGAAATTACATACTAAGGGCTGACTGATTTATCGGTTTGCCAGACAATTTTGAAGTCTTGTGAGACAAAAACCGAAGACTATTTCACAGATATGATTATTTTACAATTTTTTCCAAATTGGATGTAACTTCGCCCACTCAACCAGCAACTCCATTTATTCAAACTTTACCCGATACAGACTGTCTCAGTTATATCTCATAACTCAGAATCTGCTAAATCCAATCCACATATCTGCTATTGATGCCAAGTCTGCAGCAGCCCTTGCAGTCATAAACAAAAGTTACATGTATCTAAATACATTTACTGTATGCAGAGTCACATGTACAATATTTACATTTATATAAATATGTTGCCGAAGAGTTAGAATTATTTAACTTACAATATACAGTACATGCTTTTCCCACTTCAATCTGATATCATTTGACTGGGGAAAATCTCAATACCTATTTTTTAAAAGGCTGGTAATGACTGTCACGGTTATAGAGTTTGAAAAAAGAGATTTGGCCTTTTGGGAAGGTTTTGTGGCTTGTGCTATGAGTTGAAGTTGCTGATGTTAGCGTGGCTGGCTTTAAGTGTGTCAGGTGGTCCATGACTTCAACAATCAACAAATAGGGCTACAATTGAGTCAAACTTTTCCGTCTTTGGGCTAATCCTCAAATGAAAGGTCTAGTTCTCATGTATGAGTACTTTCTGACAGTGATAATAAATGTATTTGGCTGTGATTTCCCTGGGTGGATTATTATTATTATTTTTTTTTAATGAGACAAAGAGATAAATGTGCTGCTACACCTGAGATTTCAGAATTGTCTTCATTTTGGCCAAGTCCACTCTGTAGCGCTACGTATGTCTTCTTTGAGGTTCACTCTCTCTGAACCTGAGCCACGGGGAACCTCAGCCTGGTCAGGACCTGGGCTGGAGGATTTTTACAAAACAGTATTATACAGTCTTCTTTCCTCTTGTGAAACTAAGACATGGTGATTGCAGCGTGACTGTCTCCTGGCACATTAGCTGCTGACTCAACATGTTGTGAAGGCGATATCGAGTTTGATTATAACACAAATGTTGCAGACAATGACTAAACCAATCTTTGCATTTTGGAGTAAATCCCTCTGAATGAATTAACCTCTTTTTGCGTGTTTTCCGTCAAATACATTTCTCAATGTGATGAAGTATATAGGTGCGTGTTCAGTCATCCGGAACATTGCACTTGTTCCTCAGCATAGATGGATACATTCATACATTCTAAACGTTTCTAACTAGCTAAAAACAGTGCACATGTTAAAACTCAGACATATCTATTGTACAGTCTTCTAGCCGAAGGAACTGAGGATCGCTTAAAATCAGTGATGGGCCAGCTATACTTGATTTGTGTAGTGAGCTAAGATACAAGTTACTCTACAAGAAATTCAGCTTCACGACACAGAAGCTACCACCCATAATAATGTAGCAAGCTAAATTACTAAATTAAGATTATGAGATCCTTTATTCGTCCCAAGTGGGGCAATTTCAGTGTTGTATGTGATATCAGCATGGTATGTAAATAAAATACACTGATTGGGAGCTACATAGCTGTGTAGATATTTTTTCACTGTTTTTACGTTTTGCAATTTTTTAATCCAGCACACTAGCCCAGACTACAGGGATGTGCGGCCTTATTTGAAATTTTCTTGCAATTTCAGTGTTGCGCACAACACAAAGAGCTCACAACACAAGATACTTGAACGATGGCTATACTAATTAAAATAAGAGTAAAATCTCTAACTCTAGTGTCAAAGAACAAGTATAAAATCTCAATTTGGTAAAAATAAGAAGCAAGTATATAGTACTGTGTATTCTAGTGCAAGCAATGTGTAGTTGTATGTTAGCGTCTGTGCATTAGCTGCATGAGGCTCTGGGACACAGTGACCCAGTAAAGTGACTCTCACACATGTGGTTCTGTATTGCACATTCTGACATTCTGACATGTGACACACACATTAGTCAAATTTTGTCAAAAGTAGCTGATGCAATTTTAGTGACATATTTGCTATTGATGCAAAGTCTGCAGCGGCCTTTGATGTCATAAACAAAAGTTACATGTTAAATGTATTTATACAAACACATACATACTTGCATAAACATAAACTTGCCCAAAATTGTTCATACCATGGTACATTCTATTCCAGAGCAGTCATTGCATTAAAAAGAATTTAACATTTTGAAAAAATGAAACCTTTTTGATTGTAAATATTTTAGAATTTTTCAAGTAGCTTTACTTCAGAATCATCTGTCAGACGTAGATACAATCCTTCACTCTTCTCTGCGGCTAACTGATCAGTAGGACAATATTATTTGTTTTTTCATGTAATTCTAAACACACATTAGTTACTGTGGATCAAACCACTTGAGTCATCAGGCTCTCACCTGTTGAGAGGAGCTCTTTCCAGACATCTACGTGTTTCTGAACCAGACCCTTCACCACATCCTCTTTCAGGTCCTCATGGTGATTTCCAGATAATAGCGAAGGGCATAAGTTCAAACACCAAAATGAACATGAACTATAGGCAAGGCAAGTTTATGTGTACAGCACAATTCATACTCAAGGCAACACAAAGGGCTGAACAAAACAAGATAGAGACCGTCACACAAGGCATTCAAATCATAAATAATCACAGTGCATTAAAGAGTAAAGATCAAATCCCTCAGTTGTCTGCAGCTAAACTGAACTGTTTTTAACCTGGATTTGAACATAGTCAGAAAAGAACCCTGTCTCACATTTTCAGGAAGAATGTCCCCAATTTTAGCTGCGTGACTCTGTAATGTTCCCCATGTTTAGTTGTGACTCTGGGCACCAGCAGGTTCAGAACCATACGGTTCAAGTATCAAAAAGATGAAGGTAAAAGCAAACCTGGCCTGATCCCACTTGAAGGACTCTGGTCTGGTTGAGACGCTCATAAATGATTGGCAATCTTCAGTGATATCTTTATTTATAGTAATCATAAACTTATCTCCTTCACTGTCGCCATATGTCGCCACCTGGTCTCAAGGCCAGACTGACTACAAATACAAATAATACGTTTCAAAACAAATATGTAGCGCAAATGACTCCAGAGATGATTATATATGAATACATATTTATATATATGTATGTCATATAGGGGCGACAGTAGCTCAGTTGGTAGAGCATTGGCCTTAAGGCTAGAAGGTCGTGGGTTCAATTCCCACCTCTAAACCTTCTCCACCGACTCCCACTGATGACTGCTGTCGTTGTGTCCTTGGGCAAGACACTTAACCCCACTTTGCCCACAGCCCCCACTGAAAGATCAAGGCTATGCTCACACTCAGAGAGCAGCCGTCCTCCTGTGGACTCACCACCTGCAGAGGGTCAGTGAGGGGCTGGTGCTATGAGACTTGGGTGGCATCTCTGATTGCCACCCCCTGACCCAGAAATGGATTAAAGGGTAGAAAATGGATGGATGGACATATTTATACAGCTAACGTGAAAATTCCCATTCTTTCATTTCTGATCTTAAAACAACGGTCTTAAGGTGTTTTGATCGTGGTAGGCTCAGAAATCTTCTGGGCAAATAAAAAAATTAAAAATAAATTAAAAAAATGTCCATTTAGCCAATTGCTTTTAATTCCATTGTCTTTTTTATTACAAAAAAGGAACATATATATATATATATATATATATTTATACACTACCGTTCAAAAGTGTGGGGTCACCCAAGTGTTTTCCATGAAAAGTCACACTTATTCACCACCAAACGTTGTGAAATGAATATAAAATAGAGTCAAGACATTGACAAGGTTAGAAATAATGATTTGTATTTTAAATAAGATTTGTTTTACATTAAACTTTGCTTTTGTCAAAGAATCCTCCATTTGCCTCAATTACAACATTGCACCAAAAACCAGACATTTGCAGCTAGAATAGTCATTTACCACGTAAGCAATGTATAGTGTATTTCTTTACAGTTAAGACTAGTTTAAAGTTATCTACAGCTTTTCCTTCAATAATAAGGACATTTCAATGTGACCCCAAACTTTTGAACGGTAGTGTATATATAATATATTGCCTTTTTTGTGGTCACAGGCCCTCAATGGACACTTTTAAACGACACACATGTGGACCTATTGGAACTGATGACATTCATGATGATATTGATAGATTGATGATATATAACGCTGAACAGTGTCAGAGCACATACGTTGAGAAGCTTATGAAGACAGAAGTGTTTTGTGCATTTTTGATGTCGTTATTTTGACATTCATGTGAAAAGGAAATGACTTTATTCTTGTTAGAATAAAGTGACATGATTAAGAGTTTATAAAACTCTTTCTCTGCAATACAGGAAAGAGAGAGACAAACAGACAATGTTGTCATATGTTTCTCTCTTTTTCCTGTATTGCTGAATATAATGTTAATAAAAAAAACTCTCTCTCTGTCTGCAGCCTCTCTCTCTTTCTCTGTCTGCAGCCTCTCTCTTTCGCTGTCTGCAGCCTCTCTCTCTTTCTCTGTCTGCAGCCTCTCTCTCTCTTTCTCTGTCTGCAGCCTCTCTCTCTTTCTCTGTCTGCAGCCTCTCTCTCTCTTTCGCTGTCTGCAGCCTCTCTC